AGTATGTAACTTTCGGAAAGCTCTGAAGTATTATAAAAGAAATGGAATCTAGAATGGTCCACAATTACAGAAAAGAAAAAAAAAGCTACTTTTTATCACCAATTATAGACCACAATGCTGCTGAAGTGGATATAATGGTGCTATTCCCACTGTTACCATCTGAGGACCTGGTCCAAAGTATTAGAAATAGAGGAGAATCAGACTGATCAGGTATTCATTGTGAAGATAGTTTCTGTTAGATAATCTACAGAAACTGGTACAACAGAGTTTGAATGTTGGATTAGGCTTTTTGGTCACTACAGTAAACATAATTACAAAAATAATGGCTAATATAACCACCACTGAATGAAAAATTAGATAGAAATTGTTAGAATCTATTTTAAAAATATAGGAATTGTTCAAAAGCTACATTTCATTTTCCTCACTAGTGTTATTTCACTTCATTTTCTCCAGTCAAATTCAGAATGTCTTTCATGTTTTATGAACATTCAAATAATTATGAAAATTTCTTAACTGTTTACAGAAAGGCAGTGTTCAAATCACATGGAAGAATAAGAAGAAATAAGTGCAAATTAGACAGTAAGAAGAACGTGCAAGTTAGAAGAATCCTGGAGTCAATCTATGAGAAAAAAGTTTTCAAAAACCTTGCAGTTTATTGATCCCACCACAATTTTATAACTTCTATTGATAATAAATACTTAAAACATACACAAAAAAAATAGTCTTCAAAATATATTATTTGAGTACAGAGAGCTACTTTTGGTGCATTCTGCTCAGAATAATATACAGAGTATGTATGTTTATGTGGAAATTGATGTATGAAAAAGTCCAGCGGCTTAGACCAGTAAGGTGAAAATTTGATCATGGGACATAAAGAAACTCTTTCAAGTATGAGGATTTATTTCTTTTTCTACATTATAATTTGTAAAATAGCTGCTGCTGTTTTCATTTATCAATGAAATGACCTAAACCTCAAACAGCAAAGAAGCAAACAGCCAAATCCCCGCTATTAAGCCTTTGGTTTCAATCATACCCCCTAAACATTAAGTTTGTGTCAAAGGTGTATCATTTTATCAAATGTGTATGATCTTATCAGTTCATGACCTGGTTGCCCTTCAATTGTTTTGCTGCCTTGCTGTTCTCTTGTTACCAACAGCGGCAAGCGAAAGCGCCCAGTTTACCTTCTCTGTTTTCATGCGGTCTCCTGTTTATTTCATGTCCCTATCACAGCTTGTCTAAATTAATTAGCACTAAGCTTTTGATATGACTTCGCACAGAAATATTTTCAGTATTTTTTCCATTATGCTACATATTTCTATGGAATGAATAGACTGGCTAGAGCAACATAGTGATAGATTTTGTGTAAGGGTTTTGTAATACTTTTTTAGTGTATTTTCAATTCATTTCCTTTTCGCAACACATCATTTTATTTCCTTCTTGCTGGCTTTGTACATTGGGGGACACTTTTCGGGGAATTTTTCTCAAGAAGACTTCAAATTTCTCATTGTAATATACATCGCCTTCCTCATTTATCTTTCCTAAGCTTCTGCACTGAATGCACCCATTGGAACACAGTGCAGGAATCAGCAAGCAGACACAAACTGGAGCAGATACACTCATATGGCACGGGTGAAAGCCCCACATAGAGCAGTTTACATTTGCAGCTATTGCGCTAACGGTACAGCTTAAGCAAGAAAGTTCGCTCAGCTATTCCACCGGGCTGACACTGCTCTGCAGCTTTCAATTCCAGAGCGAGCTAGGTCAGAAGCAGACTGGGTTTGCTGGACCATGCTTCACTGCACAGTGTGGCCATATGTAGTCTATTAGAGACTTGATCGACCTAAACCATTTTAGATCATCTGCAAATACTACCTCCTTTTTCTCATTTCCGTTTCTAAATAATTATTTTTTTAAACCCCAGGGATCTCTGCATAGACACTTGGGGAACTCTGCTTCTGCTAAAATGTTCCATTTATCCTTATGATTTTTTTCTCTTAGGCACAGAGGGTCTGGTAATGCTTTGCCCTGTAACAACACTTGCTTACTTTAGTAGCTTCTTCTACCACACAGAAGCTACGCTAAAGGGCTTTTTTTGACGGTTCAAATACACTATATTGATTAATTCTCACTCACTCTATCAAAATTCTAATAGATTGACAATCTTTCTGTGCAATTTTCCTGGACAGATGCCAGCTACCTTGTTCCTAAAACCCCTGATTTACAATTTTATGCCCTACGCTAAGGCTTCTCACTGGTCTCTAATTTACAATATTTTCAAGTATCTTTTTTAACAATAAACACAACTTCTGACATTCTTTGGTTACTAGCTTTTGTTAGAAACTGAGAATTAAAGAAACACATAATCCACTGACTTCCTCCTATTTGTTTTAGTTAATTTTTCAACAACATCCTCTTTCATGACTCAGTCTTGCACTTTTATTTGAAACGGTTACCTGGGATGTGTGGCTTCCTAAATAGGCCTGTCTTTCTTTCTCTGTCCCTCCTCTGGTAAATACAAATGCAAAGAGACAGTGTACAATCTCTGCAACATCCTTGTCCTCACTAGCTGCAGCTCAAGAGACCCACCAAGCCTCCCCCAACTTACTACATTTGCATCTTAAAAATTGTCTGTATTTATTTGCGTGCCTTTGGTTATTTGCTCTAAGAAGGCTCTCTTATCTCCACTAATTACTATGCCAAAGTTTACTTGCTAGAACTTATGCTCTTTTCTGACCATTTCTCTTAAGAATCTCTCTTTTTCTAAGAGACCTTTTAAGTTCAAATATTTTTTGTATTCTGCAATATACTTGTTCTTCTTTGCTACTGATTTTTCATATGGCTGTTTTCACACACGCGGCAACTTTTTAAACAGTATTTTAGCTGAAGATGAGGGTTCTGGTTCATGCATTTTAATCACTTCTTTTAAAAAAAAATTCTACTGACAAACTGATTTTTATATTATCTTCTTCGTTAAGAAGTTGAATTTAGTTTTATCACAATTTCAATTACCCAGTGGCTCAACTAAAGTTCCTTCCTGAATGAACTTCCTCTTATGCATTCCTCTTGCCTTATTCATTGAATACATTACTAATAATGAATTATTTACTCATTGCTACAACTACTGTGCTCAGTTTCTTTTCTTTGCATCTGTTATTTGCTATACAGTTATAATCCAAAATTTTACTAAAGAAAATATTAAATATGGGAAAATAAAACAGAAATATTAGTCTTGCTTTGTAGCAGTTTTAGTTTTGAGGTTCAAAGAAAAAAAAGCAAAACTGAATCTGTATTCTGAAGTGTGGATTATGTAATACCACTCATTTATATTGTTTACTTCTGATATTTTACCTCCAATTTTTTATGCTCTTGTACCAGAGAAGTGAAAAATGTAGACCGACGTCTATATGTAAACATATTTTTCAACTTTACTATTTATGTTAGCTGGACAAAATTTTAAATCCCTAAGCAATCAAAAAAATAAATATTTCATTGTTATTTGAAATAAAACTCCCAGGACTAGAACAAAACAGAACAGAACTATAATTGTGGTGTCAGCAGATATATTCATCATTGTCATGCACATACTGCATCAGAACTCTGTTGTGATTAGACCATCATGGCCACAAAACTCAGATTTTTAACTGAAGTGATAGAGATGAAATTAGTACTGCTAGATTACAGCTTATTGCTAAAGAATGATGGAAGACCAGTTAGGGAAAGGCAGAGTCATGAGTCATTAGGTCATAGCTAAGTGAAGTTTCACATTGGTCTTTAGAGTATGACCAGTTGATGGACACCTGACATATTCATCTACACAAGATAAGCTCATTGTCTCAGAATAGGCTTTTTAGGAATGGCTTTTGCATGTCAGAACTGGTATCCAAATTTTGAAGCTTTCAGTAAAGCAAATCTAAAGAGTGAAGTGGTAAAAAGACCTCTCTGAAGGACTGAAATACCTGGACAGATAATTAAGAAGAGAGAACTGAGCTGTGTGTGCTGAGAATGATCTGTAGCAAAGATTTTCACATGCCAGGACTGCCAGTGTAGCACCTTTCAGAACAACTAAATGCTTTGGAAAAATAAATCTATTAATACCATTTAGTGAGATTCTTTTTTTTTTTTTCACCCCTGATCTGCTGTCCTAGAAGACTTCTGTTGCTTTAAAAAGGGTCGGTATTGCAACGTTAATGTCTTTGGCTTATTTGGATGAGATAAACATCGTAAGCTCTTGAAGTCAAGGAGATTACAGTCTCTAATAGAATACAGAAGGCTGCTAAATAGAATGAAAAGACATATTAGATCAAAGTATTACTCAAGGGTTCTACAACTGGCTCAGACTCCAAAAGGAATTATGAAGGCCTTTTTGACATCTATCACAGTCTTTTATGCCACCCAACCATAGTCAAAAGGTGAGTAAAGAAAGAGGCAAGATTTTGAAACAAGACAGAAGGCATGGAGGAGCACTGGCAAAAGTCAATACTATGTAGGCTGAAATATGATCAGACCGGAGGCAAGAAGTTTTGTCTTCTTCCTTCCAATCCTTAATATTAATGATGTAAATAGTTACTTAAAAATAATACACATACTGTTTATTCACAAGATACTGCTCAATAATAAAAAGAAACTCCTAGGACAGTTCTCTTGACTCAATTTTAGTCTTAAAGTGTTGGCCTGGCACTGTCAATGTTTAAACCATCTATCCAAGAAAACTTTGAAAATAATCCAGCATCAGAACGGGAAACTGAGCAACTCCCTCTCTAATATCAGCTGATACTTTTGCTGTTGACAATCATGTCACACTAAAAACAAACAAGGTTTTGTCTTTTTTTTTAAAGCATTGAACAATGCCTTCCTCAGTGGTGCCTGAATCCAAGAGAAGCCACTCCTCCCAACTGCTCCTAAAATATTATCTGTATTATTCCTACTATGAATAGCAGAAAGAGCTAATTTTTATTCCCGCAAAGGGAACACTTTCACAGAGCTTTTTGAATAGTACTTACTCAAATATGGTGGTTTGTAAGGCGCTCGTGTATTAGACAGCAGTCCATCCAACTCCTTCCTCTCCAGGGTGTTGTGAAGGGCCTTCTCTTTGCCGAAGGTGGAGAAGGACCTTTCTGTCCCTGGCTGGGCTTCTGGTGTTTCAAACACTTCAGTGTCTGGAACGGAGTCCATGCCAGGTACATGCAGATTGCTGCGGTAATCTGCAGCTTGGCGTCCATCAGATGGAACAAAGGAAGGCATCCAGCACCGATCTGAGTGGCCCAGTGCTTTACATTCCTCCGTGCAATTGGAGAAGAGATCCATGCCTACAAGCATGAGAGAAAAATAAACTAGAGATATAAGCTTCAGCATCATGAACAGCTTCTGACAGATAAGAGAGAAGTGGAAAGAGAACTGTCGTAAGAACTTCTACTGCTACTTTCATCTCCTCAACAAAAAAAAATCTCATTGTCCAGTCTTCAGAAGTCAAAGACACCATTTAATAAGCATAAATAATGCCAGAATGTCACACACACACAAAAATGTCACAAGAAGGAGGGTATAGGTGGTTCTATATCACAAAATCACTTGCAGATCTCACTGTTTAGAACCTGTTCAAATAAGGTTCAATTCCACTTGAAGGTTGATGTCTGTGGTTCACCAGTTGAAAATACTTGTTTAAGAACACAATGGAATTATTTCTATGTACATGTATCTCTGACCAAAGAAATGAAATGTCCTGGTTGAGGAATCACAGATTTCATTTATAAAAATGAAATATTAATGAATCCTACAAAGGAAGTATCTGTGCATACATTAGTATACAGACAGAGCCTACTGATATTAAAAGCAGATCTTACAAAGTAGGAATCCAGCTTTCAAGTGATCAGGATGGCTTATTTAATCAATTGTTACATCATTCTTTCAGAGACAGTTTTCATTGCTACTGCAGCAGTCCTTACTGTCATCAAGTCATCCAAGTAATAGGACAGAATCCTATAATAAATTACTGTAATTAGCGGTACAAAGGTAGCTGTAGTCCGACGCGACATGGCTGTGGATACTATTGACAAAATTGTTAATGCTTCCCCTATAAAAGCAAACACTCGTCCCTGACAACATGGAACTGTTTGCTTATAAATCCTCTAATGCTATTAAGATTTCAAATGACAAGCTATGCTTCTATTGACCACCTTCAGACTGGCCTTCCAAAAGACTATTTCCTGCCTGTGAGTCACTGAGTTGTTGGATTACACTTGTTTTGACAGGAATGGTGCATAAAATCATTGACATAGAGTAAAATAAATACCAGTGTCTCCAAGTTGATGTTCAACATCATACAGAAAGCAGAACAGTAAAGAAATAGCTTTTTCTTGTATTTATAAAGAGAACCGAGTATCTTAGAAGAGGTGTATGTCAAAACTGAACTAAATCTGTTATAAACATTGCATTTACAAGCATTGCATTAGAATTACAAAAAAATGACACTACTTGCAAGAGAAATAGGAAAAAATTTTTAACAGCTGTAATAAGATTCATGTAATGTAGCTCTTTCACCAGCCAGCATTGTAAAGAACTGGATTAGCTTGATCTCCGATGTGAGGATTAGTATTAAGAATTCTACCACTGTTTTGAAACATAATTTGACTTATATTAGTAATATTTACGTGACATCTCACACCACAAATACCAGTCTCTTCAGCAAGCAAGAATCTTTCTGAGCTATCAACAAGTGCTTCAGTACTAAAGGCAGTCACTTAGACAGAAAAAAAAAAGAAGAAAGAAAAAATTCATCCTCTATTAACCTCACTTCATGATGATTTTTTAATTTTAAATTAAGTAATATACAATGCTAGGTCCAGTTTAGATTAGAACCTTGCATTGATAACTGGCATGCAGAAGTCTGAAAATAAATTACTGATCAGTGAAGTGTTGAAGAATGCAGACGTGAACTGCAGATACGATTAAGGAATCAGATGAAGATCAGGCAAGGCGTACAAATTGTATAGTTCTAAATTCTGTAGCTGTAGTAGCTATCAAAGACTGAAAAGAAAGATTTAGTTGCAGGCTTCCTAGAAAGAAATTAATATACAGCAATGTCTATAAAAATGTGTATCTTATGTATTGAAATGTCTGCACAAAAATATGTCTCATGCAAGAAAAGACATATTTTATGAATTTAATTTTTTGCCATTCAGAAGATTTGATAATTAACACAAAATGGTTATTTCAATTTTCAGAGTTCCTAGCAAAGTTATATGTAAACAACAAATAACCCTGCTTTTAATAGGAAAACGATTACAGTTATATTTTGCTAACAGTGTATCAGTGACCATATTCATTCAAGATTTCCTGAAAGATAGCAGGAGAAAGAAAAACTTACAGATAAATATTAAATTATATTCCTTAGTCAGTGGGGAGTGAGATATTATGATATTGCTCTTAAGATACATATTCAAAGACAGACCCATTTTTCCCTTCATGGATTTTTATTTCCTGTGAAAAATTACCCTCCATTTTACTATTTTGTTTTCACATCAGCTGGTAAACTGCAAAATGTCTCTATCCAAATATTATTTTTTAGTTCCCTTTTGAATACTGCTTGTCTACTGCAGTGCACTGAATGGTATTATATAACGGCTTATGATAAAAGAGATGTTATAGCCACTATAAATCAGGATTTTGAATAAACAAAATAATGAATGTAGGGGGTATAAAATGTATGCTTCTATGACAAACTTTCCCCCCCTTGAAGATGACAACTTGTAAAAGAAAAAAAAAATTTATATACATATACATCTAAATTTTAAGATACACTGCTGGAACATACAGCTAGAATTGAAATGCTTGTTTAGGATGGGAACAAAATGTTCAGAGAGGCCTGGGTTGGGTATTGTTCCTACTTGAATCAGTCACAACATTCCCTCAGAGTTTAACGGGTGCAGAACCAAGCCCTTGGTTTTAGTATTTTGACAGAAAATAAATTCAAATTAGCAGTCTGACTTTGAAATCCCTGGGTACCTATATATATTTACACTGACTATGATATGAATGTTGGCTATTCTTCCTCCATCTTTTTCCTGTGGGTCAAGGTATAGAATTCTCTGTTTCTAATTGAAAAACATTAAAAACAGGGCGGGGAGGCTATTTGCTGTTTTCCAAGAAGAAAGGGTGTATCACAGTAAACGAAGTAAGACGTTCAGCACAGAACTCCTTCATACACCAAGAATCATGTTCTTGATTTATAACAAAAAGAAACGTTCAGCAGTATAACACTTCCGTCTCTTCTACCTCATAAATCTGGTTATATATATGATCCTTCAGAACTAAACTATCCATCATAATTGCAAATCCACATTAAAGAAAAATGCTTTATATTTTTCATTTAGTTATCGTATTAGACCTTGCATGCAGATAAACTGAGATTTTAAAGGTGACTCTGAATGCTGAATTTTAAATGTCCTCTGTGGATACAAATAGTATAGTGCAGTGAAGTGCTGAAAAATGATAAGCGTTGCACTATTCCAAATACAGCATACATATAAACGCTCATGGCAAAGGCCACTAGTTCATTTTTATTTGTTCAGGTCTTATTGCTAGATAGGCCAGTGGGCAATATGAGCTCTCACTTGACCTTAACTTTGCAGGTTTTGAAGGGAAACAAGCCCCCACGCCTCCTCCCTCAAAGGAAACCAAAAACTAGGAAAGGAGTTAAATATTAAATTTGATATCTGCATCTGAAATTCCTGAACTCAGGTGCTTTGAATCAGATACTTGGTAGGGTTGAACTTCTGAAGCATATTCCCAATTTGCTTCCTTATCCTATTTCAAAAGGAGAAAATAAAAATTTCTATGTGCATGAACTCTAATTGGTTTGAAAGACAGTTCAGATCAAAGCAAAAATTAGGCCTAAAACCATTTTAAAATAATGTATTCTTTCTTAATTTAATTAAGGGAGAAGAGCCATACACCAAGCCTTTAGAGCAACGAATGAACACGTCCATATGTATTGCTGAGTAAATGATGTAATAAAAAGCAAATATACAAATTAAATATTTACAAAGGATTTTTGTAGCATTGTTATTGAGAGGGTTTCTTTTACCCCCTAACATGTCATTTTTTCATAGCTTTGGCTTTTACTTGGAATAAAATGGCATCTTCTGTTTCTTCTGTGGCAGTTTTTCTTAAAAAAGCCAGTTAGGTGTGAGATAGGTGTGACGCAGGGAACCAGGCCTCCTTCTCAGAGCTCCATTACCAGAACAACTACCCATCTGGTTAGATTATCCTTGAGCAAGTTACTCATTTCCCTGTGATTCATGTTTTGTGTTGGTAAATAATGATAATAATGTTAACCTCCTTTGTAGAAGACTTCATCTACTGAAGAATTGGGCTTTATGAAATAGAGTTATTGTAATTCTTTCTTGCTAAGTAATTGGTGTGCCGCCTTGGATAAAACTGACTTCATCTGAATGAGAACATGAACAAAGACTCAAACATCTTCAATATTCAGCTCATCCAAATCTCAACTTCAAAGCCCTATCTGGACCATTGAGATGTGAACATTATTAAGCATGCAGTCCAAGGAAAGAAGAGAAAAAAAAAGTAAAAGAAACCGCCCTCAGCTTGAGTCAAAGCACTTCCTAAGCCATTTCCATGTTCACTCTCACTTTATCCGAGATAGGCTCTTAGCCCATGTGATCTTCAAAACAGGATTTAGCTGTCACTCTGCATAGGCTCAGAAGGAATACTGGTTCTCTCTGTCCCTTTATCACTAAAATTCTTCTTCTGACTTCCCAAATTCTTCTCCTTATGAACACTGAAATATTGCAGCTCTTCTGCAATAGCACATACTAACCCTCTCGGGTTTTGCCTATTCTGTAGTGGAAAGGTCTGAGGCAATGTTTCACCCCGTGCCTTTGTATTAGACCCCTATCAATCCCCTTCATAAAGTCCACTAGCCGAAGCCTGATTTTAGATCTCAGCCTGATTTTAGGTCTCAGCCCGTCACCAATGCATACTGTCCAGTACTGCACAGAGGAAATGATCAAAAAAGCTGATACATTTTATAGTATAAATGACAGTACATGTACTTAGCTTCACATCTTGGATGTTCCTTCCTGGAGTGTGTCTGAGAGACCATGCCAATTCAGTCAAAAAGGTGAAACAAAGGTAACAGTGTGAAGAATTCTGCAAGTTCGGCCTGAGGAAGCCGAGTAGCTAGTGAGCAACCACATGAAATAAGTTAATGGTATGAGTCCAAATCTTACAGGACAGGTGTCTAATCACACAATTTAAACATACACACATGTGGAGTATTAATTGGCACCCAAGTTGGCAATTTCACAAGGGAGGCCAAGAATTTAATCAACCATGGGAAACAAACTAACCTCATGCTTAGAAATTACTCCTACAGAACATGATTGAAATACAGTGTGTTAATAATAGGTAGCAGTGTTGCATTAGCTGCATTTGTTCTATAACAAATAGTAGCTTTTGTCTCAACAATTTTGATCCAAAGAAGAGCACAAGTAATTAGAACACGCATGTGGGGTTTGAGAAACCTCTCCTCTGTTTTCCAAAAACTTCTTGCACTTCTTCACCTTTGGAAAGTCATTTTCCAACAAGCTCAGATTCCTATCCCAGTCAACGAAATGACTACTCGATCCATGAAAATCTGTCTCTTGAGTATCCCACTGCTTGCCATTTCCCCCTACATGCGGATGACGGAACTTTTGCACTTCATGGATGTTTAGGTAGATAAGAATGTGGCTAATTACGATGCATTCGGGTGGTACTTCAATGGGAACAATATGAATCCCTTACATACATTCCAGCATATTTGAAACCATGATTAAATCACTGTTAAGAAAATCTATTTTGTTAAAAGGTGAACTAGAATCTTATGTCAAAACATAATGAAATATTTTATGATACATAGAACAGCTTAGTTCAGAATTTTGACTAAATAATTGGGCAGGACAAATCTATGGCACAGTCATAGATTTTCATCCTGCAGGTTGTCCTTCCCAATTAATAACTGACCACGACTTTAGACAGTCAGTGTGGCGAGCAATGGACTACTATAGAATAGCTACTTGTGTGCCACAGGACTGTTCAGTGATGGCAGTAACAGAAGTCATGCACAGAACAGTAAAAAGATGTTCTGCGAGCAGAACATGCTGCTGGCTAAAACTGGTAGGGAGTGAGTTTTTTTTGTCAATGAATTATCTACTAAATATTTTTGGATGCAAATACGATGCTTTTGAAAACAAATATGATGCTGCATGGTATCAGGTAACGTTCCGAAAAAAACAGCCCAAACTTCATCCATGTTATCAACCAGTGTGTTTTCCTTCAATAATTTAGGAAGAAATGATGATATAGCACCAGAATGACTGAAAAACTGAGAAGACATTCCCTCAGATATTTTCTCTAGCCATTCAAGATCAAACAAGATTTATGCTCCTTTTTTTTTCTATAAAATTCATCACCAAAATCTAATAGCAAGTGCGAACTTTTTAGATCAAAATATCTTGTCATCACTGAGATCAAGGGGCAAGTTCTTTGCATCACGACAGCAGGATTCAGCCCAAAATGTACAGGAAAACTATATTATACGTATACAGAAGACCAAAGCGGTTTCTACAGAGATTTGTATTTAAATATCTATTTGGAACTAGAATTTTAAAAATTCTGCATGAAAATTATTCTCAAAGCACAGCACCAATATATTTAATTGGAAGTTCTGTGTACTTGAGGTTTCAGTTCAAACTGTTAATTGTGAGTAGATCAAACCTAATTGACACCTTTCATTACTTCATATGTCGTCATCATTGAAGACATGGAAGTTCACACATCACATCAGATTCTTAATAGTTTGACATTATTTTGAAAGTATAGAGTAGATTTCCCCCCTTCCCCAGTTTGATAAAACAGAGATGATAAAAATGAAGCATTTACCCAGCTAAGGACTAATGCCAAGTTTGACAGTAGTTTCAGTGTTCATACCTTAGATAGACTACTTTTAAAATGGAGAAAAAATAAAGCGCAGAGGCACAACAATAACAGCACTGAATGTATCTAAAACAAAATAGCTTTCAGTTGATGTGCAACTACATGATTATATTCCCACCATCAGTCAAATCCAGCCCCTTCTGCAGATGTTTATTCTTTTCTCTCCTGTTTTGTTATTATGGTTCATTATGTTGAGGGACTAAGCTGATTGAAATGTTCATTGAGATGACTGCTGCAGTAAAATGCGTAAAAGGAAAAAAAAATGGAATGCAGGGAGGGCAGGAGGAGAGGGAGCTTTTTATAACTCAGTAGCACTGATTGCTGCATCAGAAACAGTGCGAAAGAAAGGGCGGGGGAGGCTAAATACATGGCTTTTTAAATCAACAATAAATCATATGCCATATATGGGCCAAAAATGAAAGAGGCTCTGTGTTCAGATGTAAACTTCTGGCAAGACCTGGTTTGTTGTCAGGTTCCCAGACACAAAATAGACACTCTGTTCACTTAGCATGAAGCCCTGCAAGAAGCAGGGAGCTCCGGAGACTCTTGGCTCTTCTTGAGTCTCATTAGGTCTGCATATTAATGACTTGCAGCAACATAAAGGGGCCCTGTAGTAGCCTCCTCTTCCCCTGGTGCCTGGGTTTCCCATCGTTAAGGGCACAGTGACTACAGCAGCAAGAAAACAGAGGATGTTAACAGAGCACGCGGGAGAGGCAGCACTGCTGTGACAGTACCGACTCCCTTGCCCTGGTATCCTCTAAGACAGGGGTCAGGGGAAAAAAACGGCTGACTGAAGAGACTCTGGCAGTATTTTCTATGACACACTTGTGGCAAATCCTTATACATGGTAGAGCACAGAGGAAACAAGGGGAAAGAAATCGCTGTATTGAACCAAGACACACCAGATCTTTGGACACTGTGGTAGGAAAGAAAGCACAAGCATTTGCGGCTAAAATGCAGTGCGAGGGTGAGAATGAATTCTAATACATGGGCTCTAAACAAATGTCCGTTTCAGAAGAAAACTCGCAGCATGAGAGCAAAGGCAGCAAGCCGTACACATGGGAATAACAGTGCAGTGTATGTATCTTCTAGGTGATTCAAATCATAGTCTTTTAAAGCATTTTTTTCCTTTGTCAGGACTGAAAGAAACATACTTAAGAATACCTTAGCTTTATTGACATGGAGATCACTTATAATATATGGTGCCTCAATATGAATTAAAAAACAACCCTCAGAAAACGCTACGGTATTACACATTCAGAGCACCCAACGTGTCTCCACTGATCCCCAGCAAAAATCCTCACAGTCTGGCTGTCATTCCATCACTGGGTTCATTCTCTCCCTTGGGAACTCCCCCTTCACTTCACACTGCCATGCCAGCTGAAGTGCCCACTAAACAGAATTGCCTCATGCTTTGAAATTCTGCAAATCTGCCATTGAAAAATGCACTATGAAACTTACCAATAACTTTGTTTTAATGTGCAAGAAGTTTTGTTACAGCAAATGATGCAGAACATACCATCCCCCCCCAAACAAATGAATAAAATAAACTCTGCCCCATGAATGGCAGGGGTTCAAAACGGTCTCCTTGACCGGGCTACTGTAACAGAAAGCTGACTTAAACCCAGCCTCCCGTACAATATGTTCACATCATTTATGCCACTCTTGTATCATATTCCTGTAAGTAACCGTTCTTTCTAGTCTCCCTACTTAAAGATCTACTATTTCCATTCCCTCATCAGACTTACCAGAGGATTGACCTCGATTAGTGGCATCATGATCACTGTCTCCTTGCTCACTGTCTCCATGACCACTGTCCTTAGAGCTTACTATGTCTGCTTCCTGGAATGCAGAACTAGACACAGAAACATCTTTACATTAGAATAAACATGAAAGAGGAACTCGTAAAACATTCTTCTGCCATCACATGGCCAAACACAGTTCTACATTCACCCACTCCCGTCTGCTTCACTGCTTCTGCAGGGGTGCTCTGTCCACCATGACCAAAACTGGCATTTTCAGACCTTGGCAGTCCAGCTGAAACACCCTTTCAGCAAGCACTATTGCTCCGCCTGGTTTTCATGTAACTGGTGTGAATAATTTGGTAGCATTTACTGAAGTTGGGTAGCTAAATTTTGACTCAGAGAGACCGACGTTATCTGGAAGACCCTACTACAGAAGCATTCATAAGCATGTAAAGCACGTTTTAGACTAACACAAAAAGAGATTTTGTTCTCTTTTCAGTTGGTTCTGAAACCAGTTCAGAAAAGCTGTAATTCAAACTCATTTAGCTGACCTTTTCTTTATTTAATGTGTCTACACGGGTTCAATTTCCCATTGCTTGACTACTATTTTACACCCGCAGTAAACGCATTTCTGCACCCCATTCAGACTTGGCAAAGCATGCATTAGGAAACCAAGGCGAAGGAGCTCATACCTGTTCACCCGTCGGGGTCTGTCAACTAGATAACTGAGCTCAGCGCGCTGATGTTTCGTCTAGGAAAAAGAAAATATTGGAAGACATTTTAACTCTTGGTATTTCCGTAACCAGCATCAGAAAACATACCAGAGCAGCTCACCATATTCACTATAAATGGCAATGTTTAGCTGCAAGTAGGCCTACACAATCTGTTTCTAGGATGTAAGGGGGAAAAAAACCCAGCTCTTATTCTTGTTCGCACAGATGGGAAGGCGTGAGGGATTTTTTCCTGAGTTTTTTTGGGATGAGATTCTGACACGTTTTCTGACAGTGCATGCTGTCGAGCCTCACAAGGACTCCCACAAAAATCAACAGAACTATTTTGAGAGTTGTGTACTACTTGGTCTGACAAAAAACTTACTGTAATCTACTTTTCAGCCTGTTTTTAATTCCAGCGTATAAAAATAGGGGGAGACAGTACAGTTACTGCACCCTAAGGAAAAAAATACATTGAGATACCCTCAGGTCCTTAAAAAGGCAGCAGCAGACAGAGTTTTACAGACATCTGCAGGAAAGGTCAATCTTACAATCCAGTGTTAGAGATTTTACTGCAAGACTTAATGCTTCAGACAACATCACTCAGGCCACCTCTGCCAGACTGGGCAGCATTTCAGGTGCCAGCGTCTAAGAGAGGATGTGCTGTTTTCGTTAGCGCACAGGCAGAGAGGTACTGAGCGGGTGTGTGAGCTAACCCGGAGGAAAACCATGAACAGGGGAGCATTCTGGCACGGCGTATGCTGCGATAGCAATTCTCCCCACACTAGGTAACACAACACAGGCAACGCGTGTAGCGGGAGGGGACGTTCAGTCTCCGCACGTAATTTCACGGAAACTCTTTCTCGACGCTTTCCTTTGCGAACTCAGCTTTGGGTTACAAAGCGCTGTTCAGATGAAGAAAAGTCAATTAGTAAACCCTAATTCACAAATTAATTAAAGCTCTCGCTGACTGTAGAGATTGTCACGGTCCCAGAGGGGGGTTCCGCCAAAGCCTTGCTCCCACACGCAAACGTTTCAGGAAGGGAAAAAAAAAATTAAAGAAAAAAAATAAAGACAAAGTTTTCAAACGTTGCTTCGGAAACCCCTGCGATTACGCCTCAAGCCATTCCCTCCCC